AATGACATTTCCTTGGTGCTAAAATGAAATTCATATGACTATTCACACGGTTAAATTTTATATGTTTTATCCACTTTTTGTTAAAAAATGAAATAGTTATGTCACCTTTTTTGTAGAATTATGTTGTAAGTCTTAAATATATAAAATTTTACTCNGACACAGGAAGGATTTTATACTCTAACAAACTTCAATGACTCTTGCTCTTTAATGTATAACATTGAATGACATTTCCTTGGTGCTAAAATGAAATTCATATGACTATTCACACGGTTAAATTTTATATGTTTTATCCACTTTTTGTTAAAAAATGAAATAGTTATGTCACCTTTTTTGTAGAATTATGTTGTAAGTCTTAAATATATAAAATTTTACTCCGAGTATCTTTTAATTCAATATCAATTTCCCAAACAAATTGAATTAAATTAACTTTAATAAAAAAACTGTATCAATATTCAATAATGAGATAAAATTGATCTAGATACCTTGTCAACATCCAAATCCAATTTTATACTTTGAGATTACATTGTCAACAAACATTATAAAGAGAAACATTTCTAATCTAATAGATCAGGAAAAAATATGAATTGAAATGAAACTCCGAATGCTACCATCAACATTGGTTACACTCATAATCTAACTCAATTCACACTCGTATGTAATGTCTCATTTTCACTGTAATGATTGTATTTTTAATTTTATTTAATATTTACATATTTCTACTCCGGTTAAATTCTATTTTTTAAAATAAAAACAAAAATTGACTTGGTATTTTTTTATTTTTCTATCTCATATTCTTTCAATATTTATTTTATATCTCTTTTTTTCTTTTTATATAGAATTTGTTCAAATTTTTTGTCCCATTTTGTTTGTTTGATTTTTTATACAATCAAAAAAATAAAAAAATAAATAAGATTAATAATTGTAATAATAACAGTAAATAATTTATTGCACAACTCTACCGCCAATTGTGAAAAATTCATAAAAATACGTTACAAATAGCACTAATTCTGTCTTGAGTTTTACATATATGCTTTTACTTTTATACCATAACAAAAAACATAAATTAGTTTAATTTAAAAGGGAAAAAAATATAATGATCTAATTTAATATTAAAATATGTTTCATTCAATAAATATAATAATAAAACATAGCTCATTCAATTTAGAAGTGTTTGAAAGAAAAATGAAAGGCAAGATAAAATAATGATGCTAGTACAAAAATTAATATTTCCTACGTTCAATTTTTAAGTTCACGTACACTTTTCTTCGGTCCATCCACAAATAATTTTTTCATTTTCTTTTCTTGATAAATTTTCTTTGTCAAAATGAATTAAGTTAAGTACCCCTAAATTTAAAATTTTTTATTTACTACCTCCGTCCTAGTGTATTTGTCCAGTTTGACTTTTTTGAGTTAATGGACAAACTTTAAACTCCAATTACTCTCAATTTATATTTCATATTAGCATAATGAAATACAATTTTCAAAATTCTCAATACGATAAATCCTATAAAGTCATTTTTATGTTAAAATACATCACGGTTTTTATTTAATTAAAATTTAAAGTTTGTCCAGTTTGACAGTTTGACTTTTTAATACACTGGGATGGGGAGTATTTCTTTCATCTTCCCTTCTTCATCCTTGCCGGGAAATGTCGCCGGCAAGGTCTCCTGCCAGAAAATGTTGGGTTGTGCAGCAATAATTGAGGGCAGGATAGGTGTATGTGTAGGGAAAGGGGCCAGACTTTGCCGTGCTAGAATTCATTAATAATAGCCATCAAGTTTGTTTTTTTTACACAATTGCCATTTAATCTAATCAACGGTCTAAATTTGTGCAGAATATTTAGATAAAAATTGGACCATTAGATCTTAGTTTTTGGCGGCAAAATTGGAACCTGATTTTGGCAAAAATTTCTCATCAGCTTTTATATATATAGTAGACTACACCAGAGTATCTCAATGTATTGACTAGAAACTTACTAGTGATTACTTACTACAAACTCTATCTGAGTCTTTTTCCTGTACGTGCTACACCGACCTTCTTCATGTTTTACGCAAAGGAAGCCTTGTTGGCCTGATATTATATGTGGATATCTTTTTACAAATAATTTTTTTATCTTCTATCGTATTGATGTTAACTTGAAATTAAAACTTATGTCCAACGACATAATCTGATATTGGTTAGATAGATAACACAAAAATAATGACTATTATTATGGGCTAGGATTATGATGAACGACCACATCTGTAGACTATAATTATAGTGGAAAATGACTATAATTCACAAATGACATATCTGAGTGACCTTTGGAATTGTGTATTACAATAAAGATATATTATCATTATGAAATTATACTTTTAGCCTTCAAATTAACACCAATATGATCAAAGATAAAAAAAGAACTTTTTGTGAAAAGGTACCATAAAGGAAGAATCACCGGGGTAACATTTGATTATAGAAGACTAAATATGAAAATCCTCCTATTATAAAAGACCAATTATGAAATTAATCAAAATTTTATGTAGGGACAAAAGGAGTAATTAAATAGCTATGCGATTCTTTTGACAACGTTTTTTTGTGACTCTGAATCTCTATGCTACTTTATTAGTTCTGAGGTGGGGTAAGATCCCCTACCTCCAACCATCCGCATCACCAATATGGTATACTTCCTTCGTCCCAAAAAATATTTCACTTTTTACTTGTCCCTAAAAAAACTTCAGCTTGACTTAAATGGACATAAATGCACTTGTTTTTTTCTAAATCTAACTTAGCCTACTCCATTTAGTTTTTACACTCTCCATTCTGACATTTTACAAATCCTACTCATGTCAAAACAAGAAAAAATTTGTGGGATGGAGGGACTAAGGAAGTAGTATACATGCAACAACATATTGGCGATATAAGACTTTGAGTATGTTCTCTTCGTCAGATATGATTGGATCTCATCTGATTATATTAAAGTCTGATCTGATCTAATATAATTATAGTTATATTCAAAGCTATTTTTTATTTGATTTGATCTGATTCAAATAGAATAACTAATACTCAATATGTCTCATATCCTTCTTTTCATTTGACTTTTCACAACTTTCAATGCAACACTTTGACAATTAATATCTCTATTTATATATATAAAATAAAGTATAAACTACGTTTCAATATGAATATATGGTCAAAAATTTAAAATACTGATTGCAAAAGTCAAAATGAGAAAAAAAAAAGAGTAAGCAGTAAGAATAAGAATAAGCGGAAAAAAACAAATTCCAAAAGGATAGACACAAGGGGAATTTGGGGAGGGGGAGGGAGTTAGGGATATGATCCACTTTTGGACCGAATTATCATAGAACTCCTAGATGGTTGGTGTCATAATATAGGACATCGAGTGTTGGTGTAAAAGAGATTTATTTTTTTAGTCCATCTCAAAATAATTGTTCTACTTCTTTACTTATCTTTTAAAGCAAATGATATGTGATCAACGAACTTTTTATTTGTCTAAACAAATTTCAACCACTCACTTTAATGTTTCAACACTTTTTTAAAAACTTTGTGAAATCAAATTAGAACGATATCCTTGCGATAGAGTAAATAGTTAATTATATAGAGGATCATTTTTAAGAGCATCTTTACTAGTTTCTATCACTTTTCTCTCTCTTTCTCCTTTTTACGGTGATATTACTTTCACTTTAACTTTTCTCACACCACTCTCATAGTTCATCACACTTTCTCTTCTTTTTAATGGTGAGCTCACAAGCCATAAATGTATTTAATTTTTTAAAGAAATAAACTACCTCGATATTTTTCTAACTAATAAGTTTATTTTATCTACACAATATTTATCATACCAAATCAAAATAACTTATTTTAAAATAAGTAATGTAAATTTATGGAGTATTTTTTTAAAAAAAATATATACATGCCACAAAAATGTGACTTAATAAAAAATTGTTTTAAAAAATCATACCATTATAAAAAACCAACCTAATTTATTTCTTTTTCTTTTTTTCGTTTTCCCCCCTCTTTTCATCTTTCTTTCTTTCCTCTCATTCTTCTCTCTTATTCCGGGGATGTACCCTTTTCCACATTATCATTTCTTAACAATTCATCTCCCAGTAAAATTGTTCAAATGATGTATACCGGTAAATGGGAGTGAATTGATGATCAAATTGAATCTTGGGTAATTGATGCTCATTTTTGGGTCACATGGGGTTAATGATTTGGTGACCCAAGTGTACTATGCTTACTTAAGGGCTGTTTGGCAACTTCTGAATAGGTAAGTGCTGAACTAGTAAGAGGTCTGAACCATTAAGTGTTGAACCAGTAAGAGGTCTGAACCATTAAGTGTTGAACCAGTAAGAGGTCTGAACCATTAAGAGCTAGTATATTGCTTAACTATTCAGAGGCAAATGTCTGATCAATTCAGATAAGAGGTCTTAACCATTCAGACACTGTATAATACTTAACCATTTAATGCAAATGTCTGAACCATTCAGACATCTGCTCACGAAACAAACAGTCTGAACCATTAAGTGCTGAACCATTCAGACATTTGAACCATTAAGAAGCCGAAACAAACAGCCCCAGGCCGGGTAAGACATATATATGGGCCATAATCAAATGTGACTCAAATTGACATGCACACTTGTTGGACTCAAGCCCAAAAATAATTCTATCTACAAACTAACACTTCTAAGAACATCACATGATTTCCACAAGCTTCTCTCTTCAGCTTTGGCCCCCTAACTTCTAAGGGACCATTCATTCATTCATTCACTGGTTCTTCCAATCCATCCATCTTCAGGTACTGTTTCTTCTTTCCTACGCTTCCATCTCCATTTTTCGCTTGCTTCATCTTCCTTCCTACCTTTAATTTGATATTCTCAGGCTGTAATTATGCCCTGTTTCAGTTATATTTGCACGCGAAGCACAATTCTTATATGTTTTTGTTATCATCGGTGAATTCATAGATCCATCGTTGAACTTCAGAAAATCTGAAGCAATAGTCTGTAGATCTCTTGTTCGGCCTCTATTTTTGAGGATCGTGTACGGAACTTTGAAGCTCATAGCGATTCTTCAATCATTTTTTTCATAATTTGCAGTGAGGTTATTTAAAGTCCCGCATAGATTAGTATTTGGAATATTAGTTGCTGGGATCATTTTCATATTGGTTTTGGGATGGAATTTCATAATTTTACTGTATTAGAGCTAAGAAGTCAAGTTCTATTCTAAAAAGTGACCGCCTGAGTAAAAAAAGGGCTCAAGTTGGATTTAAGAGGAGGTTGAGGATATAAAGTGAAATTCAGCTTAAACAGATGAATACTGAGTATATAAGAATATGAGTAACTCTATTAATTTCCAATTGGTTTTGGGATGGAATCTTAGAAGTCTACACTCACTTTTGTCAAGGAACCAACTCAACCAAAAGCTCAAGCGTGTGGTTGTGGCCCAAGAAATATTTCTTATATTCTAACACGCCCCCTCACGTGCAAACGTAGTCTTTTTTCGAGCTTCACATGTGAAACCTTATTTTTTTAAAAAAAACTTGGTGGCGCTGAGTTTCGAGCCCGTGACCTCTTAGTCAACAAGGCTCTGATATCATGTCAAGGAACCAACTCAACCAAAAGCTCAAGCTTGTGGTTGTGGCCCAAGAAATGTTTCTTATATTCTAACAACTTTGCTATGTATCCTGTTGGAAGCGTTTTTATTGAGATTGTATTGATTCTTACCTATTAATCATGCAGGAACCACTCGTGAGTGCCATGGCTGGAGCTTTAGTGCAATGGACAAACATTTCTTCACTGGTTTCTAGTAAAGGAGTAGTAAATTTTAAGCGATCTTCTGGAAAAGGGAGAAGGGGTGTGTCAATGCTTTGTTCTTCGAATTCATCACATGCTTTGCAATTGAGAGGCGGTTATGTCGGATTGAGGGGCGGAAATGCAATAGACATGATAGGGAGATCGCGGGAAACATTTCATTCTAAAGTGGCCGCAGCTCTTTCCCGCAGACGAGGAGGGAGGGGTGGCCGTCTAGTCGTTAAGGCCATGTTTGAGCGGTTCACAGAGAAAGCAATAAAGGTGATTATGCTTGCACAAGAGGAAGCTAGGCGTCTCGGACACAATTTTGTTGGAACAGAACAGATTCTGCTTGGTCTTGTTGGAGAGGGAACTGGAATAGCTGCTAAGGTTCTCAAATCAATGGGTATTAATTTGAAAGATGCTCGTGTGGAGGTGGAGAAGATTATCGGAAGGGGAAGTGGGTTTGTTGCTGTTGAGATTCCTTTTACTCCCCGTGCAAAGCGTGTATTGGAGCTCTCTCTCGAGGAAGCCCGCCAGCTAGGTGATATTTTTACACACACACACACACACACAGATATAATCATTTCATGGCAATCCAATGAATTGAGATAGAACATTCTTAGAGTTACTTATTTTCAAAGAGTAATTAATTTTGTATAAGAAGAGAGGTACTTTATAAAGAAGCATGTTACAAGGAAATGAAAAAAAAATGAAGAAGAGCTTTTAATTATGATTTTTTTTTTGTGTGTTCTCTATTCAAGAAAGCATCATATTGCAGCATTTGAAGAAAACAACTGTAGTGCTTAAAATGGACATGCATATCATGGAACACTGAAATACTTAGATCTCATCTAACTTTGATTATTCTTTTACGCCTAACAACCTCTAGATTTTTTTCTAGTATTGCGGTAGATCTCTCTTTTTCTCTTAACAAGGTTAACATTTTATTGGATGGAAGATATTACATCTGACTTAATTTGTTGTTTATCTTAGGCCACAACTATATTGGGTCCGAGCACTTGCTCTTGGGTTTGCTTCGTGAAGGTGAAGGAGTTGCGGCTCGAGTTCTTGAAAACTTAGGTGCTGATCCAAGTAACATTCGAACACAGGCAAGTGTTGTACCGTTTTATACTTATATTACATAAAAAGTGTTCTCTTTGTTTGCTTGCTTCTTGTTTGGGTTATGGGAAAACTTTGTTGTCCATTGTCCTAGTCTGATCTGGTGTGTGGAACTATTATGTTCTAAATAAACAGGTCATCAGAATGGTTGGTGAAAGTGCTGAAGCTGTTGGTGCTGCTGTTGGAGGAGGAACTTCAGGACAAAAGATGCCAACTTTAGAGGAGTATGGTACCAATTTGACAAAGTTAGCTGAGGAGGTAGTTTAAGTTATTATGGAGTATATTTTACATGCAAAGCATTGGCGAATTTTAGAATATCAGTGTTTATGGCTAACTCCTAATATTGCAGGAGAAGGAAAGAAGATAGGAAGTGAAGTGTTTTTTAATTATTTGTTTTGCCTTTGGAAATACTATTCAAGATCAAATATGATTAAAAATTTAATTATTTGTGGATATACTTCTTATTCTTATGTAATATGATTATTAGAGTAAAATGGGTATGAAAAAAAATATCAAATTGATTAGCATAGTTTTCTGTTTGAAATTTGAATCAATTTATTAAATTTTCTCCTGCATTCTTCCCTTCCAAATTTCTTTCCTAATATTGTTCCATGGCATTTTCCAAGTTTCTAATGAACCGTTAATGTATCTAAGATGGTCAATTTATGTGCTTTTAAGGGAAAACTGGATCCTGTAGTTGGAAGGCAGGAGCAAATCGAGCGGGTAACTCAAATTTTGGGTCGACGTACGAAGAACAATCCTTGCCTTATTGGAGAACCGGGTGTAGGGAAAACAGCTATTGCTGAAGGTTTAGCTCAACGAATTGCCACTGGTGATGTTCCTGAAACAATTGAGGGAAAGAAGGTATGCTACTCCCTCTGTCTCACTATATTTTTGCCCCTTTTTACCTTTTTTGTCTGACCACTATTTTGTCTCATACCATATTTGGTCATATTTGTGTGGTCGACAATTCTCTTACTTTTTAACATCAATCTTAACGACGCAATCTTACTTTTCTTAATTTCCGTGCCACTCCATCATGCCCTAAAAATATGTGGCTTGTGATATTTCTCTATTCTAAACAAATTTCAACATACTTTTTACTTTCCAAAACTTTTTTCAAACTCCGTGAAGTCAAACCATAGATTTCATTTTGGCTGTAGGCATGCTTATCAATGGTGCAAATGACGATTACCATTTTGTGCAATTGGCATTATGGGCCTCCCACACCATTAAAAGTGTCCATGGCTTTAGTTTGACTCATGACATTCCCATTTTGTTGCCATCACTACCATGATATGCTCAACATTGTCCCATGAAAACGTTGCCACATGTTTTTGTTTTTTTGTTGTGCACAATTTCATTGGCTGAGTTTCTTTTCAAATACATTCAAGTAGTGTGATCATAATAAAATAGCCATGGGTGTCCATGCTTCAACATTTATCTTTTGATATAGTAGAATTACCCCTCTTTATTCTGGTAAACCTTAGGTTATTACCCTCGATATGGGCCTTCTTGTTGCTGGGACGAAGTACCGAGGAGAGTTTGAGGAAAGACTGAAGAAGCTTATGGAGGAAATTAAACAGAGCGATGAGATCATACTATTCATAGATGAAGTTCACACATTGATTGGCGCTGGAGCAGCCGAAGGGGCCATTGATGCAGCAAACATACTGAAACCTGCTCTAGCTCGCGGTGAACTTCAGGTTAGTAATGTATAGCAAGATAGGGAATTCTTCTTATCTTTCTATTTTTGTGTCAAATGCATTGTTTGGTTGTGAAAACAAAAAATGGGGTTGGGGGGGGGAGTGAGAAAAAGGGGACCCCGCGCCATTATAAATGGCAATGAGTTGGGTTTGGATCAGGTGACGCTTCACCCCTATCCATTCATTAACTCTCTATCCGTCACCTGACCCATTTATCATCCAATTCATCCATTATCTTCGGGTAAAATGGGTGCAAAGTGGATAAAATTAATAACCACTGTTTTTATCACCAACAACATTTCACTAAATTACAATAAAAAATACGACTAGTTGTAATAAACTAATATTAAAACGTCTATTTTGTTTTACAACAATACAATAGTACATTACATTATCCGTCGTTACTCTTTTTGGTGCAACAGAAGAACCATTAACTCAGTTTACGTATACAGAGGTGTAAATATTAAAAATTTAACACAAATATACGGACAGGTGGGTGGATCAAGGTGAAGGGTGAGAAAAATGTCCACCCATATCCGCCCCGATCCATCAATTGATCCATCTATCATTCCGAGTATCGTCCATATTTTTTTGGATGTTCGTCCATTTTATCGGGATGGGTGGTTCGGATATCCATCAGTTAAGGAAGTGATTGCCATCCCTGTCTGCCCTGTTTTTATGCACAATAAAACAAATTAGTCGGTGCTTATTTATCTGGTGGTAATTCATTCACAACTATCAGTGTATTGGAGCAACAACACTTGATGAATACCGCAAGCATATAGAAAAGGATCCCGCATTAGAGAGAAGATTCCAACCGGTTAAGGTTCCCGAGCCAACTGTGGATGAAACCATACAAATACTGAAAGGGCTTAGGGAGCGCTACGAAATCCATCACAAACTCCGCTATACAGATGAAGCGTTGGTTGCTGCTGCACAGCTTTCATACCAGTACATCAGGTATCTAGCTTATCATTCTTTGAACTACTCCCTCCCTCCCACAAAAAAATTGCCACTTTCCTTTTTCATCCGTCCAAAAATAAATTTATCACTTTTTCCTTTATAGAAAAAATTTTGTGTTCCAAAATACTTCTCTCTATAAAGCAAATTCTAGCCATTCACTTTCCATTATTCAACATCTTTTAAAACTTTTTGAAATCTCCTTGAAATCATAGTGAGCAAATTAATTTGGGACCGGGGGAGTATTATTTAGGATCATTTCAAGAGAACTCTTTTTAGAAAAGGTTTTGTCTTTTAATTTTGTAGGCGATGTTTGGAACCTAGAAATTGTTGGGGAAAACAAATAAGGATGAACATATAGGTGAAACGTGGAAAGAAAGAAAATGTCTGGGACAAGGAAATATTAGTTTAGAGTCAATAAATTTAATTTTGATATTTTTTTTGAACTCTTTTTTACGGAGTAAATTTTTTCCTATAATACTCCATCCGTTCCAAAAAGATATCCAGCTTCATTTGAACATTTGTTAAGAAACTGAAATTATGTAGCTGTGGTTTGTTTTGGATTGAGATAAACAATGTCAACTCTAAGTCTTTCTTAAAAAGGAAAAATGAAGAAATTTTGGGGTAACCCAAAACGAAAACAATAACAAAATATTGGGATGAATTAAGATATAGGACTAGAAATCTAATTTTATTTTAAATAATACTGGGTATTATTTTTCTTTGCAACTGAGGTAATGCCAAACAAAAGACGTGACTTGGAAATTTTTTACTCCTTTTTCTATTATTTTCCTGGATCCAAATGTACCCCTATTTTTTTTATTACACTGATTTTTTTGTGTGCAGTGACCGTTTCCTTCCCGATAAGGCAATTGACTTGGTTGATGAGGCGGGTTCTCGTGTTAGACTTCGCCATGCACAGGTAGAAACCTATTCTCCAAGGGTCTGTTTGGACAGATGGTTTTGGAGGCGAAATCTTTGAAGTGTTCACCCTATTATTGAAATAAGAATTGTTCATTTAAAAGTACAACTGACTTTCAGTTAAGTTCAGTAAATTTTGATAAGAAAGATCATACTCTAATTTGAAATATTCCAAAACTGAATAAAAGGCCACTGAAATATATTTAAAACAAAACACCCCAAACCCCTCCATCCAAACAGACCCTAATATGCATTGCCTCGGTCTATATTGAGTTCGTGCCTTTGTATTTCTCCTATAGCTTCCCGAGGAAGCGAAAGAACTCGAGAGAGAGCTTAGGCAGATAACAAAGGAGAAGAATGAAGCCGTCCGCGGTCAAGACTTTGAGAAGGTACTTATTTTCTTATGTACTGTTCATTTCGGTTCTCGTTTCAATAACTTTGAACAAGATAATAGTCCCTGATATATAACCACTTCAACTCGGCTTAGGCCGGGGAGTTACGTGATAGAGAAATGGATCTGAAGACGCAAATCACGGCGTTGGTAGATAAAACCAAAGAAAAAAGCAAAGCGGAAAGCGAGGCGGGGGATGAAGGCCCGGTTGTGACCGAAGCCGATATCCAACACATTGTCTCGTCATGGACCGGAATACCCGTCGAGAAGGTATCGACGGATGAGTCCGACCGTCTCCTAAAAATGGAAGAGACGCTCCACACCCGAGTCATCGGTCAGGACGAAGCGGTCAAGGCCATAAGTCGGGCCATCCGACGGGCACGTGTCGGGCTCAAGAACCCGAACCGGCCCATAGCCAGCTTCATCTTTTCCGGCCCCACCGGGGTCGGGAAGTCCGAACTCGCGAAAGCGCTTGCGGCCTACTACTTCGGATCGGAGGAGGCGATGATCCGGCTCGACATGAGCGAGTTCATGGAGCGGCACACCGTCTCGAAACTAATCGGCTCCCCGCCCGGGTACGTCGGTTACACCGAGGGCGGGCAGCTGACCGAGGCCGTCCGCCGCCGCCCGTACACGGTCGTCCTCTTCGACGAGATCGAGAAGGCCCACCCAGACGTCTTCAACATGATGCTCCAGATCCTGGAGGACGGGCGGCTCACGGACAGCAAAGGCCGGACGGTGGACTTCAAGAACACGCTCCTCATCATGACCTCCAACGTCGGGAGCAGCGTGATCGAGAAGGGCGGCCGCCGGATCGGCTTCGACCTGACGTACGACGAGAAGGACAGCAGCTACAACCGGATCAAGAGCCTGGTCACCGAGGAGCTCAAGCAGTACTTCCGGCCGGAGTTCCTGAACCGGCTCGACGAGATGATCGTTTTCCGGCAGCTGACGAAGCTGGAGGTGAAGGAGATAGCGGACATAATGCTGAGGGAGGTGTTCGAGAGGCTGAGGGGGAAGGAGATTGAGTTGCAGGTGACGGAGAGGTTCAGGGACAGGGTGGTGGACGAAGGGTACAACCCCAGCTACGGGGCGAGGCCCTTGAGAAGGGCAATCATGAGGCTTTTGGAGGACAGTATGGCGGAGAAGATGCTTTCGCGGGAGATCAAAGAAGGGGACTCCATCATCGTGGACGTCGACTCCGACGGGAATGTGACTGTCCTTAACGGAAGCAGTGGCACTCCCCCTGAGCCTTTGTCTGCTCAGTCAATTGCCCTCTGAGGTTTCTCTATAAACTGTAAGTTTTCTTTTCCTAAACCTTTTCCTCTGGGGGGTAGGGGTCTGTATTTGCATTATTATGGTCTTAAGGACCCCCCCCCACCCCACAAAAAAAAAAAAAAAACTGTATTGGAGTGAGTTGACAGTTGTGTAGTAGTATATACTCTGTTGAGTATCATGTAAACCTAAAAAAAAAGAAGAATTTGCCCCCACCCCACTTGTAACATATATATCCACACTACTTTTCCTAATTCTTGCCTACTTGCACTTTTTTTTTTGTTAAATTTTCATCTATCAAAGGTTAATTAACATCCATATTTGACCAAAGGCCTTAGAAATTGTATTTTTTTGGTACACTAATTGCGGAAAGCTGGAGTGGAATACACTAGTTAGGCTAGTAATTAAGGTCTATAAGTCGATAACATCTACTTCGGCATTGTGGCTTGTCTCAAATTAAATCACTTGTTTGTTTTGATTAAAAGAAAATAAAAGTTACTAATGTTATAATTATAAGGTTGACATGGGATCAATTTTTATTTTAATATCGGTGTAGAAATTAAAAAATTACACAGGTATAAATTTAAATGCTACGTTAAAAATTTTACAAAATAAGATATGATAAAAATATTTTATTTTATTAAATAATTAATTAAAATAGATAAATAAACAAAAGCTTTGTGTTATCCCATGACATTACTAAGTTAATAATCCCATGACTCTGTAAGCTTAAAAAAGTAAAAAATAAAAAAAAAACTGAATAAATTAAATTAGGAGAAAGAATGTTTTGCACATGCTAAAAACAGGGGTAACCCTTGGTGCCTCCTCTAAGGCTCTGTTTGGTTCAGAGGAAGGGGAAGGAAAACCTCCCCTTGTTTGGTCTAAAAGATTCTCGTCTCCCCTGTTTTGTTTGCAAAGCAAGAGAAAATGTCTCATTTTACATGCTCGATCTTCTATTTTCTTCCCTTCCACTTTCTTGTGACCCAAACACAGCCTAAGGATTACCCCGACACCCTCAAAGATATGTTTTGAGTCATATAAAAAGGCATGTTCTCTTCAGCTTATTTTTTCTATTTATTACTTATTCTTATTTGGATCAGATGCAATCACATAATTTCGGATCAAATTAGCCACAACTTCAAATTACACAACTTTTGGATCAGATCAAATCAGACTATACCAGATTAGATCAAAACTTAACGAATTTAGATCAGAATCAATCAGACCAGACTAGATCAAAACTTAACGAATTCAGATCAGAACCAATGACACTATACAAGACTAGATCAAAACTTAGCAAGTTCAAATGAGAACACACCCTAAGTCAATAACTACTGAACCATGTTTGGGTGAGAGCTTCTGTGTGTGGGGCTGACACTCCCACTCCTACTCAGTTTCAGAGCATCCATAGCTTTCTGTATCTCCATTGTCATGGCACTGTCAACACTCCCAGACGACAGCTTCCGGTGTGCTTTCTGCAAGTGAAGCTTCAACGAACTGCTACTCAGCCCTGCATTCTTCCCACAGATGGAACACACCTTCATCGTCGGCCTCCTCTGTTGCCACTCCATCGATGCCTTCCCGTGCAACTTCTGGTCAAGTTCCAATAGAAGCCTCGCAAACCCGTCGTTCGGCTGCGCACGCCGGTGCACTCTCTTCAGCGCGTTCCACGCCCGCAATAGCGTGAAGTTCCTGCACCATCTCATCTTATTAGTCACCGTTTTTTTTGGAACGGAGGAAGAGTTGAACTGTTCCATTTACAAAAAGCAAAATAACTGTAGTGATGTGTTCATCTTTACCCCCACACATGCCGTGTTTAGATGGGTAGGCCGTAGCATGTATGAATGTGCAATGCCAGGTGCTAAAATGTGAACCACTTCTTTCTTTCCCTAAATGGAATGAGTGTTTTTGGGACATCCAAAAGAGGGAAGCAGGAAGTTCTTCTTTTAGGGACGGAGGGAGTATGAGAGTATGTCTCAACTATGTTAATAGGCATTCATAATTTGTATGCAAAAAAAAAGTGTACTGTCTTTTGAATTGAGGGAGTTATGATGATGATTTCAAAAATCTGGTTATCGCTTCTAAAGTAGATGAGTAGGTCAGGACATGCGGGTTCTACTCTAAAAAAACTCCCGCCGCATAAAGAACTGAGAAAAAAGTTCAATAACTCTGGATTCTCTGAACTTACTTTCTCAGCATCAAGTAAGCAAGAACAACAGCTGCACTCCTGCTTTTTCCTTCAAAGCAGTGCACAAGAATCTTCCCACCTATTTTTTCGACGTGATCGATGAAATCATGTGCTTCTTCGAAGAGATCGCTAATGTTGCTGTCTTCATTGTCACATATCTGTTTCCACAAGACAAAAAGTCATCAGTTCCTTAGAAAACAATAACCAGTACCTATCACTCCAAAATTGAAACTTCATACATCCCCCAAAAGTGTTATTTTAAATACTTGTTTTGACAATAAAAGAGTCATATTGGATAAATGAAGCATATTCTTTTTGCATATTTTAATGAAAAAGAGTTGTACAAGTTTGTTCTTGATAAATATAGTAAAACCAACGACACAATTTTAAAAATGATTATGATTAATGAATTATTGCATGTGTACCTTACCAATATTTAAAAGTTGCACCTTTCTCAAAGACTATACTCTTTGGGAACGGAGCTCGTACTTTCTTAAGCTAAAGAAAAGAAGATTTTAAGAACATACAGAAAAATTTTTGTACTCAAACAAGTCGGGGAACTGAGAGTCAGACTGTCCAATTTCATTGGTGCACAGACACAGTATATGTGTGATTCCTATGTGTTGCAGAGTGTGAACAGATCTAGCAGCGAGTGCCCCGCCAATGAAAAGGCTCTCTGAAATGGACGATGGCCTTTCTGTGTTTGCAGCATTGGAAATCAAAACTATTCTGTCAAGAATATGCTCAAGCCTGACCTGTAACAATTTCAAGAAATTATGTGTAGAAGTGTGAAAAAATCTATGAAATGGCAGCCAAAAGTGTACCTTCAGCTCATATGCATCAACCACATAATTGTTATCACTGCCTTCAAAGAAGCCTGTGTTGAAATTGTTCTCCAGGCATAACTTAATTACATCATTTTTCAGCATTTCATTCCATTGCTCTAATTCTTTGTTTAATTCTGCATCCACCTGAGTCAGTTTTGGGTCACAAAAACAGTGAATCTTGGGTAACATTGTATAAATACTAACGCATTATTTGATTGCTAGAAAATAAGCTGAGGTGGATAATGTTTTCCCAAGAAAAAAAAATCAGCAATAATAAGTTGCTGAATGTAATCAGTAATGTTTAACCCCACAAGTGGAAAGCAGCCAAACTGATATAGCAGAATAAGTCATTCTTACAAAAGTTCCAGAACAATGCCAAATAGTTTCCCTCAAGATGTATTGCAGTGTTAAACACATGAAAATCCATAAAACATATTTCAAGAAAATGTCACTCAAAACAAATTTAAAGGCCCATTTGGATGAAGGATTTAGAGGCTTTTGGAGGGGGGGGGGGGGTCTTTAGAGGGATTTGTTTATACGTCGTAGCTCATTAAATAAATGTTTCAAAAAACAAATAAAGGGTGGTTGAAAAATGTAGTTTAAAAATGAAATAGTATATAACTATTTATTATGCTATTCCTTCCATTTTCATGAAATCTCATGCGTGTGTGTAACACACACACACACTTAGCCCTCCAAAGTTACTCTAAGTGAAACTCATTTTCATAAAATCATCAACCTAAACAATGGTGCAAAAAAAGGTTCTCCTTATTCCTTGGTTCTTTACTTCTCTTTTGGCATGCAAAACTAATACTCCTTATTCGACATAATCTATAGCCTGATGGATGCAAGATGTCTATTCAGAACAACACTTAATTTAAGGCACAAAATAGATACCACCTACCTTGGCAGATTTGTGAAAGTCACGTAATTTTGATGCCAAACGCAAACTATGCAGAGGTTCTCCATTACCCCTAAACTTCCCCGGCAAGCTCTCTCTGGAAACCGGAGAACCGCCATCTGAGTTCTCCCTACACCCTGAAGATGACGATGGCTTGGGTGTTATTCTAGGCAACTCCGAATCATTTGAATCCAAATTGTTCTCACTAACTGTTGTTTCCCTACTCGGTGGTGGTGAGTCGGGAACCGCCACTTCTTCCTTCTCAAGATCCCCCGAAGAAGAGGCTCTGTCAATAATGGTGAGGAGCACTCTCAAGAGGTTTTCCAGTTTCTGATGAAGCGTGAGAAGAAATATATGAAATCCTTGTAAGTCGCGTAAAGCTGCACGAAATCCACTCCGAAATTCATGAACAACCTGAGTCATATTGGCCAAATGAGAATCAACAGTCATCATCTCAGAATCATTAGGAGGAACCCCTAATTTTCCTCCGGTTATTTCATGAAGGATATTCGATGAATACTCAAAACTGTTTATGATGAGCTCAACCAGCTTAGGATAGGCTTCCTGGTCATTCGCACGCTTTCCAGCTGGCGGCCTGCGTGGAACCCCAGAGTCTATAGCCACGATATGAAAATCTGGCATCTCGTCTAACAAATTTACACTCTTAACGCTTAAATTGCTTGATTTCGGGGACTCCACCACGTCAGAGAGATCAGAATGCTGTGGTAGTACACCCGAAGTGGGAGGGTTGATTTTGCCATCAATTGAAGTGGCTCTTCTTTCTTTTTGAAATGCTTTGATAACACTTGGTCTGCATCTGCTTACTAAAGAGTTAAACGCAGCATCGGGAGTTTCAGTCATCATCATGTCACCCATCTTATCTGATAACAGTAGGTTTGCCGGGTTTCCACGCCATCTCAGATGACGGCATGGAAGGCGATCTTCGTTTCTTATGACAAGGTCCAAAACCATGACCCTCCCTAGTGCTGCAGCCATTTTTTCTGCAGATTGTTGGGAATCAAATGCATTTGAACTCTCTAGCAGAGGTGATCCATGTATATAACTGCAAAATTGGTAGGCGTGAATTTAATTGGTGATTTTACAGTAATGATCTCAGAATGATAAGAAACAACAAGCTTAAAGCAAAGAAATAAAAAGATACATCTCGCATAGCAGCATAGCCTGACTTAGCAGTAATAGCTCTGCATATGAAGATGGATTGGAAATTTAAACTTAGAAAGAAATTCTGAGCGTTCTACCTATCTGATAGAGAAGTATAAGACATCATATAGTAGACTATGATACTCTCCATCCCTCTATTAAGCTCCCACACTCATTTGAGGATGTGCCTAAATTATGTCCCCACTCTCATTTTGAGGATGTTTCAAATACTCATACTTTATGAGCATAAAGCAATAAGCTAGAGACAAAATTTGGAAGTCAATAACTCTGAAATAATCAGGTAGCCTAAATGAGTGTGTGCTATTCAAGCTGGGAGTAATGGACTTCCTGATTAAGTCAGGGTTGCTCAATGATTAGCCGTGTACATATTATGAACCCATATTTTTCTCCTTAATATTTCAATGTGGTATCCTAATGGAGTATTGGATAAAATTGATTCACTTATAATCTACTGAGTACGTATTTGATTCACCAATGAATAAAGGGATCATACAAATCTCAGACATATAATACGAGTAGCACTTAATTACAATTTTTCCCCTGTGAGAAGCTTTTCAGTGCGTCCGTAATTATGTACTCCCTCCGTCCTACTAAGTTTGGAACAAGGGTAAGCGGCACACAAATGTATGGAAAGAGGAATTGTGTAGTTGATAATGAACATGCTAAGAACGAAAGAAAGATGCTTTTAAACGACAAAAATATGATAAATATGGTATGGGACAAAAATTTTGGGACGAATCAAAATGGGGAAATGGGACAAAAATAATGAGATAGATGAAGTATATCACAAGTCTCTCTTCTATCAAGCTACCAAATGGTCCAAAAAGGATCGACAAACTACACTCACAAACCCTATAGTGGGTTTTAACTGTCAAGCCTCCTATGTCGTGGGTGCAGTATCTCTTGTAAAAGTTATTTCCCAATTTGGTCCCCAACAATACTTCCACCAGCAACTTCTTTTAGATTCAATTTGATCCTTGACTAAGCATTAGTCACAATTTGATGACCGGTCATGCAAGATAGACTGGATTTAGTCATATGATGAGCACTAAATTGGGTCCAACATAGTCGAGGGTCAAGTTAAATCCAAATTTGGGTCTAAACTAAGAAGCAGAAAAAATACTCTTATCTAGAACCAACTATGAATGAAGACAAAATTACATCCAAATTTCAGCGAAGGATAGAACTGTGTCCAACAAAATGGAAAATTGGGTATGGTTAAAGAACTAAAGAATAAAAGTGTCTAGATTTTATCATGTCGGGGTTTATCTAGACTCTAGAGTAAGACCAAAGTTACACTCACTTCATCAGTAAAACACATCGGCTTAATTCAAGAGCTTCTAGAAGCTCAGAGCAGGTCATTTCACCAATTTCATCTCCTTCCGATATAGCTGCTTCTTTTGCTTTTTCAGCGGCATCTTTGATCTGCAACCACTCCGGAACACAGTTGTGAATAACCCGCGCCTGCAAAAGCCCAGAATCGAAGAAATGTCAAACACTGGATTTAAGAATAAGGCGCATTTGGTTTGATGGAAAACAAACACTTAGCAGTTAGCATCCAAAGTGTAGGACTATAAAGAGTTAGCACCATTTGGGTTGATTTTTCAAAAGTTATCCCATTTAAAAAAACATAGCGCAAATTTGAAAGAGACTGAACACTGCACACCATTTGCATGCAATTTCCAAAAAGGATCACACACCTAACCAAACAATCGAAATGTGATTTTGCATGCAAACTGATGGCCTCCCCTACACTTTGCATGTAATCACTTTGCATGCAAAATTTTAAGGAGCAGACTACCAAATGCCACCATAGTGACAAATTAAGCGGTGAAGAAAGAAGGTACGACTTGTGGGGTCCGGACACCTAGCCACTTTGCAAACTCATAACCGAGGCGCTCTGATTGAGTGGACATCCGTGAAGATGATATCTTTATGACGGCAACTGCTTCCTTTGTAGAAGAAGATTCACAATCTAGAGGCTGGTTGAATAGTGCAAAAAAAACCACACCTCCCGAATTAACAGTGACCTGTGTATCCACAGGAAAAGAAGAAACAAGTGTAAATACATAATACCTCCAAATAGATCGATGCAAAAAGACATAAAAGTAAAAAAAAATATAATGAAGATATAAAAATGCTTGGCAATGCTGCCATTCCTGCGTCTGCTGGCATTTAAATTACCAAACATGAGTGCTGGGTAATAGAAATTAATGTCAGTAGCTCAGTCGCAGCAAGCATTGTAATTTTTTCCTATGTAAAGGATAAAATTATGCAGCAAGGAACTTGAAGTGAAAATACAACATATAACTACCTCCAATGCTTTATTCATTTCATCCTCAGATTGCTCAGTACTACTACTGTGCTCTGTGTGGTGGAGAGAAGAAAGTGTTCTCCAGGACATGGCGCTTGGTTCAATGTCCAACATCGCAGCATTACCAAGCCTCTCCCACAAACTCACTTCTGCTGCTTGCTCAGAAGGCGGATGATCACTTACATCTGTACTTGGTTCTTCTAGGCTGGAACACATAATCATAATGAAAAACTACAACACCAACAACCCCAGTAAATCACACGAAAGGTAGGGTCTGTGAGGGTGTGTGTACACAGACCTTATCCACAGTCCAAAATATAGAGGTTGTTTCCAAGAAACCCCGGGCTTAGCTCAAACAAAATCAAAGTAAACCAACAAGGAAGACACAAAAGCACGACCAAATTGAGAACAAAGTAGAAGCAAAGAGTAAACAGCAAACTAAGGACAAAAAAAGAAAGCACAACAGAGACAAGAAGCACACAAACCGACATTAGCACTAGACCCCAAGCCCAGAGAGCACATAGACGCAATAGCAACAACGAATTACCAATAGGGCCTAGAAGACTATCCAAATACTCAAGTCTTAGATATCCACACGTAATCGTAATGATTAACACCCACAATGAGACAGATGAGTGATGATCAATACGTGTAAATATATGTGACCAAAAAAACAAAAAAACTGCAACTAAGTAAGTATTTTAACTTGATAAGTTTTCAATATACTTGTAACTTATTATCTACCGATGTTTTGTTGCATAAAGTCATAAACCATGTATAACTCACTGGTTTTTAAAGTAAAAACAATTCATCCCCTCACTTCCCCTCGAAAACATGTTCTAAGACAAGTCCTTCTATCATAGACATAAAGCCCATCATGGACCTTCACAAATGAACAAATTCAACAACAAAAAACTTGATAAAATCCCACAGTTGTAGGGTCTAGGTTAGGTGTGTGTACACAGAGGCCTTACCCCTGTTTGGAAGTAGAGAGGCTATTTCCATGGGACCTCAAACTCAAAATGTCAAACACATAAGGAGAGACAACGTAAAGACAAAATAGACAGTAGCACGAACAAAGTAAGAGTACAAACAAAAGAAGCATATACTAACACGAGCAATTAGACCCTAAACACAAAAAACATGAAAAGAACATAAGCACAAGCTTAGAGACAAAAGCCTAAAATGTCTACCCAATTACTCTAATCCTAGATCTCCAAGTGTTCTTGGCTAAGGTCATATCCTCAATAAGATCCTGATGTCTTACATTTTGTCTAATCACCTCCTTCCAACGCTTCCTAAGTCTATATTTACCACTACTCACACCCACTATCGCACGCCTCTTGCATCTCCCTACTCTCCTCTCTATGTGCCCAAACTACATGAACTTAGTTTCTCACAGTTTATCTTCCACATGTACCACTCTCACACTTCCCCAAATAGCCTCATTTCGGATCTTATACATCTTTGAATGACCACACATCCACCACAGCATGCTCACCTATGTCACTTAAAGCTGACGAACAAGAATTTTCTTCACTACCGGGCATTCAACTCCATATAACATAGCCAGTTTAATCACGGTCTGATAAAACTTCCCTTTCATGTTAGTCAATATCTTATTGTCGCAAAGAACACCTAAAGCTAGCTTCCACTTTGCCCAAGCAGCTAATACAATGAATGCATATCCATATACCCCCTCCGTCCATGAATTATCTTCCTGATGCAGTTTACGATGTTTGACTTGGGTTAATTTTAATTCAATTTATTTGAAAATTGGTGTGGAATTAAAAAAATAAAAATTACACAATACATATTCAAAAACTATATCAAAAGTTCTACAAAACAAGAAGTGACATGACTATGTTCTTTTATCGAATGAGTAAAATAGGCAAAAAGAGTAAATAAAGTTTGACAATCTAAATAATGAACAGGAAGATAATTTGTTGACGGAGGCAGTAATGATTTATTACTCATGTGATTATTTATTACTTATGTGAGGAAGTCTGTGTTTCAAATATAGACCTTAGGCCCATACAAGAATTTACCTTCTAAGACATAGTCATAATAAACATTTGAGCAGTTGTTAGTAGCTACATACATAAGAGATGTTGTTGGCGGTGCCATTAAGATATCATTTAGTACCCAATATGCTCTACTTGTTATGATGATTATAGTTGTTTTCTCACTTTCTGATCTATCACATATAATGAATACAATAAATGGACATTCCAATGAACATTTACTGTGTGTAACAATTAAAAAGAGAGTAAAGTTACTCCATAAGTTAGTTTCCATCCAGTACAACTTGAGTAATCTCCTCACATTTTAGTCATTAATCTCAATACTTGTTTAACATCTAAGCTGAGTTAGCTCCATAAGGCAAACACAAACAACTCTTTTTAATGATTCTAAAAACAGTATACTCCGTGATAAGAAAACAAAAGGATTAGATAAAAATAGACAAATAGTAATTCACAGATCACAACTATCAAAGACTGAAAAGAACAAAAACCTGGAGGGCATAGTATCAACTCTGTGAGGACGACAAGGGAAGCCGGAGGAGCGAATCTTGCCACTTCGTTTACGAACCAGCTCCAGCCATTCTGTGAACCGATACGCCGGCCCTGCCTTAATATCTCCCAACATATAAAGCACCTGCATTTTCACATTTTCACCACCATTTTCATGAACACAAAAAATGTGGTCAAATAGAAAATAAAGCACATCGGGGGAACCACACTTTAAAAAAATCAAATCAAAAGATCAAATCCAATTGATTAGCTATTTTAACGCTTGAAGTTATAAAGTCAATTTCCTTTCTTTAATATTATTATCAATGTCGGACACTAGCAGAATTGCATAGCAAATTAGCAATTGTTAAGGCTTCATTTGGTAGAGTTTTAGCGTATTCTATTTGTCTGCAAAATAAGAGGAATAATTAGCTTTCTTAAATGTATGCTACCAAATACCAATTGCTTGTTCATTTCCATACTCAATGAAGCTAAAATATTTGTAACTTGTAATTGACAATGTTTTAGTCTAGGGTAAAATGGTAAATAATGAACTAAATCAAAATGTCACATTAAACTTCCTTTGCTTCTTACTTCCAATGAAGTTTTGCCTGTTTTGGATAGTAAATGCAGTGATGCATTAAGTGTCTAAGGGAAAAACTATCTCTATATTTTACAGAGGTAAGGTTGCGTGCATCTTGACCCGTCAGACTCCAACGAAATTGATATTATATTGGACTGTTATTGTTGTGGTTGTATCAACTGCTTTTTTAATCCAAAAATCAGGCATTTCTCCTCTTTGAGACACCAGGGTAATGTTGTTGATTCAAGCATTTCTCTTTCAGAAAAAAACGATGAGATTCAGTCATTCCATTTTAACAAAATTATCCTTACCAAATAGGCCCTAAATGCAAAAAAACTACTTCGACAGTTCTAATCCCATCAAGAAATTAGGGCATATGAAGTGACATTACTGACCCGAGAAGTGATGTTAAAGGGAAATGGGATCTCAGGCTCGTCGGATCCCAGATCAAACTCCTTCTCTTCCTCCTCTTTCTGCATATACAAACTCAAACTCTATTCATGGATCACACACACAAACTAAATTAGTACAAATTAATTATTCAACAAACACAGATCTAGATCTTCATCGGAAAGAAACACAAATGTGTAAATAAACTCAAATCAATTACTCAAAAGCGGGGGAGAAAGAAATCATGAAATTGCTCATATGCTGTCTACATATATGACATGGCGTGATTTGAGGGTGTGGGGGAAATGATTTCCGATGGAGAAAAAAAAGTTAGAGAGAGAGTACCTGAAGAGAGAAAAGGTAATGTTCTCCTTTGTATTGATTGGCCATTTTCGCTGTTGCTTTTTTCCGCTTTTTTTCCCTAAGAAATTACAGAGAAAATATTATTGTCTGGAAATGGATAGACGCATGTTTCTCGCTTTTCGCGGTGGTCGGGAGAGAGAGTGGCGGGATTGACTGTCCAGAAGAAATGGTTTGAGCGGAGGTCGGTTTTCATGGAAGTAGAATAAACTCTAAACGAGCTAACACTGAGTTCACTCGTTGAACAGTGTTCCCGGCAGTTCATACTGAGAAATGAGAATGCAATATATTGATTTTGAATCAATAAAATCTCCCTAGACACTAGAGAGAAGTACAAAGTACTCCGTATGAAAATGTCGAGATAGTAAGTCTTTTGAGACTAAACTAAGACAATGTAATGTAAGAGTACTGCTTTGGAGGTGTGATGAAAAAACGATGACAGCGTAAAATATTAGTCTGATAAGTACACAATCAGCGATCCGCGGTAGCACTTTGGTGGCTGACGGCGATGGATGGCAACATGGCGAGTGAAAATGTGGTAATTACAGTGTGACAATGTGATGAGACAGAGGTGACTCTGAGATGAAGAAGAAGCTTCAAGATTCATGCTCCATACACTATGTTCCGAACCTACACAAGAAGAAGCTTCAAAGGACGTAAAATAGAGGAGACTGTGAGATGAAGAATTCAGAAGAATGACGATATAGCATAGTTTATCACTGAGCACTTTAAGTTCAGTGAGAAACTGAAAGACTTGTGATGGGATAATACTCCTTGGAACTGTAAGATATTAGGTGTTATCCATGGGAGAAACTGACACTAGGCTCTTATTTTACAATAAATAGAGGCATGAAATCCAAAAAAGAGAGCCTCCATCTCGAATCTACATACACATCTCTCTCATATTTATTATCTTCTCCATAGAGCTTCAAGCTACATCAATGAATTTTTAATGACTTTTTTTGAAATGAATATAGTTTTTTGGTCAACCCCATCCCAATGACTTTTTGATGCTTTCGGAAAATTAAAATGAAGTGTGATCAAAAAAGTCATCAAAATGTGGTAATTACAACTTTTTTATAATGACTTTTTTTGCTACATCATTAAAAAACATTTTTCTTCCCACCAAATGACGAAAAATATGAAAGAAAAATAAATTTTCATGGAAATTATTCTCTTGAAAAATATTCGTTTAGGAAAATATTTCTCCCCGACCAAACACACCATTAGTCTCGGACTAATGCCAGACGCTGCGATGTTTAAGAAAAACGATAAAAAGTAATCCATCCGTCCCAATTTAAATCGTGATGTTTGCCTGGATTAGTTTCAAATCATTTCATATGAATTATAGTATAAAATTAATAAATAAAACTTACATATTTATAAACTACATCAAAAGATCTACAAAACTAGTGATAACATGACTATATTGATTTATCAAGTGACTAACAAAAATAAGAAAAAAAAGTAAATAAAAGTTGATCATGTAAATAATTAACACACAATTTAATTTAGGATGAAGAGAGTAAAAGATAGGTGAGTAAAATTTGTATAGATGAAAAGGAATGATAGTAGACCACATGAACACTAAAATTAAGTTCTTCCTTTTGTTCTAAAAATTTCCCAACATAAAATTTACATTTCTATTAAAAATATAGAGTAATTGTGTGATTCATATATCATACAGAGTATTATTTATCTTTAATCTGTATATCATAAAATTTTATATTTTCTTAAATTGAAAAGCGTAGAAGTGCTAGCATTAGCCAAGAAAGAGTTACTATTCCTAAAATGTGTAAGAATGGAGGTAAATAAAACACTTAAGAGCACATCCAATGGCGTGCAAAAAAAAATCCTCACCATCTCTTTCTATTTATTATCTCTCCCACATTATCATTATCATCTTTTTGGTGTGAGTTTTGCTTGCATCCCATTAGCAAGGAAGCTTTTTTTATTCTCCAGTTACACCTTTTATGGACTTACAAGATCTTTTCTCTTTTTTTTTTTTTTTTTTTTTNTTGAAAAAAATTCAACTCTTTTAAGATGTTTATGTGCTAAAGTCCATAAAAGAATTAATCTCCACAGCAGAATATTAAAGAAAAGTACATTAGCAAGACTGACTAATAGAAGCAAAAAAGTTCCAAATTTCATCATTCTGCAACCGCTAAATGTTGGTATCTTTGCACCATTAGCATTTTCAAAATTAATGTGCATATTTAAAAAGAATCATGATACCAACACTAACTACAAAGGTTGTTCCTCAACGAAAGCCCGAAATAGATGACAATCTATAGTGTTAAAACGCCCCGAGGACATATCATTGGAATGAAACAAATCAAAGAATATTTATATAATACCTCAGATCATCCTCCATGTAATATTTGTTTTTTTTTCTATCTTTTGAATCGATGACAAATCTTTGAGCTAATTACATTTTCCCCTCAACACTTTTACACCCTACCCCCCTAACAAGCAAATAAAATAAAAAAAAATAAAAAAAAACACCATACGAAAAATGTACTAGGGAAAAAGGAGAGCCAATCCTCTATCCCAAAAATGATATCTCACTCTCATGTCCCACCCTCCATATGCCACCACATAGCACAACAATAGACTGGAACTACATTTTGTAAGGGGGGAAACATGGGGGTGGGATAGCAGTTTTTGGGACAGGAGATCCCTTACCAAAAGGGAGAGTCCTTAAAATCAAGGCGACCCCTCTGAGTCAGCACCAGTTTTGGGGTCAGGCGGTGGCGGCTGATCAATTTCCTTGCGTGATGCTTCCCACAGCTGCTGTTCAATTCCCAATTTCCTGACCTCGGTCAAACCCCTTTCCACTACAACAAAACCAAGGCAATGCAGTTACGCCGTAGGCCGAGACCAATGCTTTTAAGCCCGGCCCAAACCGGCCTGTCGGACCGGATGAACGGGAATTTTAACCCCTGAAAAAATTGCATAAACTGCAGGAATCGGTGGTTTTGCCGGTTTTCCCATGTGGCAACTCTAACACTATGTTTGGTTCAAGGAATTTGAAAGGGAAAAGAAATGAAAATGAAGTGGAAAACAATTTTTCTTGTTTGGTTAGAGAGAAAAAGAAAGGAAAAGTGGAAGGAAAAGAAAATGAGAAGGCAAAATATACTTCGTGGAGGGAAAACCAAATTCCTTCCATTTTTGTGAGGAAAATGAGAGAAAATCATTTTCTTTTCTTTTCCCTCCAAATTCCTTAAACCAAACTTAGTGTAAGATCCTTCCCAACTTAGTAAGAGGGTGTTTGAGACTGTGAAAACAACTTTTGAGAACATTAAAATACAAAACTGAGTGTTTGTCAAATCTGCTTTAGTTTATGAATATTATGACTTAAGATGTGCAAAATGAGCTCTAAAAGTGCTTTTAAGCAAAACTAAGGGTAATTTGCTTGCTTTCCGCTTCTGACTTGGCACTTCTATTTTTTCAAGAACTCACCACACTCCCAAGTTCCAAACACCCTCTAAGACTAAATGTTACCCAAGTTCGTATTTCTCGTGAATGATTACATATGACAACCTCTCCTACCCTCCCCATGCTAAAACTATGAACCAAATCCTTTGAGTGTTGGATAACATTTATCATTTATGCAACGCAGGAAAAATGCAGTAGTAAAAGAACTGCAGTATGACACTTACCATCAACAGCATCATGTGTTGTGGGTGACTGGCCACTACGGCTTATCCAGAACCGAAGTCTCTCTTCTGCAATATCCTCTTCCACACCATGGGCTTTAGCTCTTCTCCAGAAATATGTAAGCCATGCCTGTAAATGTCATACACTGCTTTTTTACCGTACTAAAACTAGTAGCATTGGGCCAGACAATGTTTGACCATAATTAATTTTCTACTTTATGCGATATAACAAAAGATCATCCGTTCCCCTATTTTTTGTGTCATAAAGAGTGGAAATGAATTTTATAAAAGTAAGATTGTGTGGTCGATATTGATTATAAAAAGTATGATATGAATGTGAACCACACAAATATGACCAAACATGGTATGAGACAAAAGGTTAAAAAAAGACAAAATAATGGGACAGATGGAGTAATAGTGTCTTTTCTATCAAAAATAGACCTAAAACTGATACCGGCTTAGCATCCCGAGTTGCCTCAAATGGAAAAAATTTCCACAAGGAATTTTTGCCGCCAAAAAGTGAATACAGTTCGGGTCAATTTGGAACCTAGATATTCAGAATAATAGGGAAAAGAAATAGGAAGCAAAACATAAAAGAAAACTGGGAGAAAAAAAAGAGAAAAATAAAAGAAGGGAAGCTCAATAATTAATTTTATACTCTATTATATACACCTATTGTCGCATATTTATCGTCCTTTCATTTCTCGGGATGCCCGTTCTTTTTCTGTAAAATTTTTTGTTCCTTCCTGATCAAATCTCAACAACAAAATTTTCATTTTTTCTAGAACTATGTGTCAAAGTCAAACCAACAACAACAAACCTCATATAATCCCACAAAAAGTAGGGTTTGGGGAGGGCGCGTGTACGCAGACTTTACCACTACTCAGAGTCAAATCAAGAACATAAAAATGAGAATAGAGAACATAAAAATGAGAATAGAGGGACTGAGGGAGTAAAGACTACATATTTTATATAAATATAATAAAAAGAACTAATAACATTTCATTTTCCAATCTAAAACCAAGCAGTAAATAGTTTAGCCCTTTTAACCTTTCCCTAGCATTTTCCAGGATTTAAGCACACTTTGTAAGGCTTGCCTTAGTTGCATGGAGACAAGGACAAGTACTCATACAGTGACGGTGTTGGGAACAGGGAAACACCATATTTTCCAAATTTTACAAAGAATTTGAGTGTCAAGACATCCCCAGGTACCGAAACGGGGACGGACGTTTCAGGGATGGAAAACAACACTCGTTTGAAGAATCCGTGCAACATAGCTAGGAAAAAGTCGAAAAGACGGGTTGGAAGCAATAGCCAAGGAGAAAACAATTCACAGAGCATGGTGCACAATACCACAGAGCATGTAAAAATATAAGAACGAGCAACTTTTTTAACACACACCCCACACCTCCCCACAGAAAATCAAGAATAAAAATTCAGACCTCCTTGAAAAGAACATCTTCTGCCTCCTCCGCACTCAAGTCTGCAAACAAAAAATGCATGGCCAATACACCATTTAGAGATATACAGTTTGCTTCAATAGCAGAGATGTGATTTGTAATGGTTTGGGCAATTATTTGATGTGGGGGGGGGAAGTGGCCATTTAGAAAAATGCACAACAGATTAAAAAGTTTGCGGATATACAAACAGGAGCAAGCTATGCCTATACACATAAAGTCATCTATGCTCCTTCAATTTACACAAGTGATTCATGAACAAAAAAATAAAATAAAAGACCACCGATAACAAGGAATGGGTTTATGATGTGCCAAAACACTGGATTCCCTTAAAAAATAAAAACAATTGAAAGAAAATTCCATCGATTTTTCAAGCTTACTACATCAGTACATCCAAGAATGTTAGCTAAATCTACCCAACCCCACAAGGTGCCAGGATAAAAGAGAACATGCAAACACACAAATTCACCGAAGAATTTTTTTGTGATGCAAAAAGTAGGAGTTACAAATACAAAGCATGCAAGTAAAAATTTTCTTACCGTCTGCATCAGAAAATTTAGAGTCACCTGACTGTTTAACATCTGCAAGGAAATATACATATAATATAATGACTTTAATTAGTTCTATATTTGTAAATTACATACAAAAATGATAAATACTTTAGAGAAGGAACACATGGTGCATGGTATAGCATCAAGAGCAGTTCATGAAGAAAAATATTTAACAAGTCATACTCCGTGAAAGTCATATTTACATAACTACGGCCATATACAATCATTGGCATTTATCAGAATAAAGGAGGTCCTCGTATGCTTATTTGGTTCACCTAAGAATGGGTATCAGGTAATTGATTAAAAATGCCGCCAATTCCGCCCCCAGCATCAAACCTATCGCCACATCATTACTTCTTAGTCTGTTGTGTGATGAAACATGAAGAAGACAAAGACACTAAGTTCAGCCTAGAGCGACCGTGCTTCTAACCTTGGACGAGAACCAAACCCTAATTTTATTCCACAATACAAACCTAGCACTCAATTCAATTCATCATACCTTCTCAAGACTATTAATAATTTCAACACCTTAAGTTTAACCGAACAGGACCTCATGGTTATAACAGTTTAAGATTTTATCTACACTTCAGTTTAAAGTTAAAAACACTAGAGGAAGCTATAGCAGCTACGTAGAGGAGTATATCAAAGCTTGGAAAACAACAGTAATTGGATCCGCAATGATGATTCCGAAAACTGATCATACCAGAAAATGAATGACGGACAATATTTGAACGCCTATTTTGGGCCAGTGCTAGAACAACAGCATCCTCAACCTTAGAATAAAAGAGATGATTTGAACAAACAGAAACATCACACATAACAATTAAACATAGATCAGAATTAAAGGGAAGATGAAAAGACACCTTCAGGGATGCTAATTCTCTTAGAGCCATTTCAACGGAAAGCATACTCTCAATGTTTCCTTCCCCAGAAAAGTCACTCAAGTCACGAACAAGTTTACTCCTATCTGAATTGTCTCCGCCTGCCCCCATGTGAAAGGAGAAAATAAAAGCCCGATGAACATTCAAAATAAGACAGACACAACTAGTGGCAATAAAAAAAATAATCAGTACCATTCCAGGAATCCTCTTTGGCCTTCTGGCCAGCAGAAATTACTATTTCAAGTGGAAGAGGTGCTAATGATGACCAGTGTTCATGTTTTGGGACTGCAATATCTTCAAAGATGCCTGTAAAAAATAGGTAAAATATAAGGAAATGTTGAAAAAATACTACTCCGTACATTATATCAGCAAAACTTCCTGGAAGAACAAGCTCAGAACTCAGAAGAACACAATTTCCTTTCAAAGATCACATAAACCTACAGTTTGGGCTTGTATCAACTAGCACTAGACACTAGTAAGTTTACTGTCAGAAACGGCTTGCAGCCATTTTAAGTAATGAATGGCATGTGAAACTGGAACACAGTAATGAGTTAGGAATTCATAATCACTTTTACATGGCAGGAAGATGATGCAAACAATAAAGATGGCATGGCCTTTAAACCTTCAGTAGAAAACAATAAAGCAAGTAATTACCATAATGTACCGCTAAGCCCCAGTATCGAGCAAGCCAGCATCTTTTCAGAACTACTTCCTCCTGAAAAAAGAATAGCAGATGCAGATTACAAAAATAAATGCTATAACATTGTCAAATGATGAAATGAATGAACAGTAACTGTTAAAGGAAAAATCTAATTGCAACCATCTCTTCATGAGTAAGAATCATTCTCTGGGTCATTCTGCGAAGAGCGTTCGCTTCAGATTCAGCTTCATGAAGTTGCTCTATAGCATGTGCAGTATCATCTTTCAAGTTCTGAAATTGCATTTGATAATGAGCACTGCTCACTGCAATAATGAGAGATATAATGAAGAGTGGGCATGTCTTACATCAATCTCTGCACGGAGAGATGCCATTTCCTCGTCTCTCTCACCTTTATTCTGCATTGCAGCTTTAAGAGCGGCCTGCAGGACTTAATAACAGCCTAAGAATGGAACGATTATTTCTATAATGATGTCACTGCTTAGTCTAAGCACTTATAGGGCTCAACAGTTGGCAATTTATGTACATCAATGAACGAAAGTGTGTCGGTATGAAAAAATTCACATTGATGTACAATACCTCTCTTTGGCGAAGTGCTGCTTCCTTCCTGCATGTAAGCATGTTTCAAACTTTCAATCAGAGAACATATACTGCTTTTGTCTCACTATTTTTTGGACATCTAGAGTGGCATTCAAATTTAGGAAAGTAAAATTGTATGGTTATTAAGGAAGTTATAAGATACGAATTGATTTATGTGACATATATCATACGAAATATGCAAATATGGCATGTGACTAACACTATGTTTGGTTCAAGGAATATAAAGGAAAAAAAATTAGATGGAAAGCAAATTTTCTTGTTTGGTTAGAGAGGAAAAGAAAAGAAAAGTAGAAGGAAAAAAAATGAGAAAGTAATTGTGCTAAGATGAGGAAAAATAAAATTCCTCCCATTTTGGTGATGAAATGAGTGAATCATTGTTTTCTTTTCCTTGAACCAAACATAGTGTACGAATTTGGGGCGAGAAAATTGACAAAATAGTGGGACTGAGAGACTATTAAGCAGCAATATTGCACAGAGCCACAGATTATAAACCCAAATCAATACCTGCTCAGTAATTTTGCTTCAAGGGACACACCTTCTCCAAGAGCAGCAACCTGTATTTAAAAATGCATACCAAGGTGAATAACATTAAAATACAAAGTATGAAAGTATCAAAGTCATTCTTCAATAGTTCAATCCATGAAGCCAAACAGAAAACAAGATGACATTGAGGAACAAAGTCATTTTGATATGTAAACAGCAGCACCTATATCATTTGCATATCTCAACTAACAGAGCAAGTAGCAATCGGTACCAAGGAGCATGCCCCTGTAGTTAATGTGCATCCTAATAAATTTGAAATTATGATATAATTAACAAAATTGCAACATTCAAGAACAGACCCTAATTACTCAGACCTGTTTCTCCAGTTCCCTAGCTCTGGCCTCAGCTTCTTCTCGCTTTTCTTCTGCACGACGAAGCTGTAGAGCTAATCAGATTTTATTATTCGATTTTACATCACATACTAAAAGAACCCCATTATGGTCTAGAGAAGCACCGGAAAAATCCAATCACATTAGTTTCCACTGAGATTAAGGCACTGATACTCACCTTGTCTAAAATAATCTCATTCTCTTCTTGTAACATGTCGAGCTGTAAGCAATAGAAAGTGTCATCTCAAACACCAACCCCATAAATACATTTAAATGACCAAAGAACTAGAAAACAGCTTCCTGAGCTCAAGTATATTATACTCCGTACTTGAGAAGGTAGTTAAAAGCACACAGAAATTAATTCGATCTCATACTTCATCATGAAGTGCAGAAGCCTCATTCTGCTTTCCCGAGTCTTTTGAATCAACGCGACCCACATCCGGCAAAAGCCTAAAACAGTTGTTGAAAAGATTGGTTTCCATAAATCTCAAATTTAATAATCTCAGTGGCATACAACCTCGACATTGAAACCAATAGGGAATACATGGTCAACACTAAAGTACTTTACTAGTAAGCAGCTAAAACACACAAAAATTCCAAAAACAAAAAAACGATAGTGCATTTCTAGATTTAGTAGAAATTGAAAATACACATCATATAAACCGTCAATAATAGACCATGAATCTGTACAAATAACTAGTTACTATAGTATAGAAATGGGATAAGGCATCATTAGTTTCTGGGACATTTATTAAGCACCTCTGCAACATCATAGTTCCAAAAATGAGAAAATTGGCTACATGCCTACATGTGATGTGCTCATACTAGAAATGCTACTCTGGGTACATGATCATGGATGCTTCACATGGCAATTAAATGCCTCTTGGGTCAAATGAAAATAAACCTAGTTCTATTTCTAATAACATATATTTGAAAAGTCCACAACAAAAGAAGAACTACCTAAGGAGTAGATGAGCGGATTATATTTTAGATGGATATGAAAAGCAAAGTAAAGTATCATTGTTCCTTTTAAGGGCATCTGAATTAAAACATTCTCACAGTGGATACTTGTGTATTGCATGAATATGTGATATTACCTATTTAAGACAAGTAATTGACACTGAATTTAATGCCATCGGCCCTAACATAGTCAGAATTAAGATATTGACGATAGTAAGGACCAAGGAGGAGAGCAAGCAACTTTATAACTAAAAACAAATGTCATTATTGAGCAACAAAAACCTTGGAATTCAGTAATGAAGATTGGATCATCTATTACCTCTTCTCTCTTAATCTACTACTAGGGGGTTCTACTGGAGGAATTGGAGCGGGTGTTCTGAGAGATGTTCTGCTGGGTGGCACAACTGTTGCAGATGAAGCGGCTGATCCTGTACGAACAGACAATGAGGATCTTCCCGCAGATGTTGAACGCACTGTAGGGGTGTGCTCCATAAAAGTTCTACCTAACTGAAAAAGAAAGCACTGGATTATGAACTAATGTAGTCCCTAAGACCATGCAGCGGTTTCAGCCATATCTGGTGGCAACTGTTGATCCTATAACCTCATGAAATGAATCGGATACTTAAAAGTTAAGGCTAAAACAACTAAATTTATCATAAATTACCGCGGGTGAGGGAGATCGATTGGGCTTAGCAACTGAGATAGCCGAAAAACCACTGCCGTAACTATTACTATTACTGTGGGTGCGGCCATTACCGGAGAAGGCAGCACTCGGCCGCCGGAACCCTAGATCATCGTCCTCATCCTCGTCATCCTGTGTCTGCGAAGTAGCCATGACCTGCGCCAGACGCTGAGCAGCTGCCTTGGCGGCAACGTTCTGAGTCCTTTTGATAGTCGACATCCCGGTTGCTGCCGGAGGCAGCCGCGAACGTGGATGCGCGGGAGACCCCACCGGCGACGATGACCCCGTGCTGCTAGATCCCCCGCTCCATTGCCGGACATACACCGGACTCTCCGTCCTCCTCCGATCCATGTGTGTATGACTGCGCGCTGGAATCTATGAGAGGGAAATCGTGAGCTAGATTTTGTCCGGGAATTAAGGAAGGAGATGTGGACGGGAAAAGGATTGACGGATCATGAAATCCGGCGGTTCCGCAGAACCGCTGAAGGAGGAGAAATGAAAATGAAGCCTAGCGCGTGGCCGCGTGAAAGGAGAAAGCTCTTCACCTCTTTGATTGTCTTCTTCTAAAAATAGAGAAAACAGTCCATTGATTCACAATGTTCATCAAAATGTCCTACTAGAATGATTGAGTATTTAGAACACTCACAATAGGAAAAAGGGAAATTCCTTGTCAATCTCCATACATTTTTTCTCTTTGCTTTAATCAATTTTTGGGTGAAAAAAATGTTTTTTTCTCTCCATTGCTCCATCTCTCACTCTATATCTTGCTAAATTGATGTAGAAAATTTCACATAGGAAAAACAACAAAAAAGAATATAAGTTTTGGAAATAATTTATCTTTGAAGTTTTTAAAAATTTTACGAATTCCTTTTGAACTTTTTGAATTGCACTAATACTTCCCAAATTTTTAAAGATATCATACCAATAGTCTCTCTTTGTCAGATTTAGAGATACGTTAATCACACGTTCATCCAGTGTAAGTATGAGTTCATAAGTCATAAATCACACGTGAGTTCTTAATATGCTTTTTCCTGAAATCATCTTTTATATTTTTAACCTCTTTAAAGTTTAAACTCTAGATAATTATTTCTATACTAACCTTATTGTATAATAAGAAAAAACCTTTTTTTAATGTATTACTTAAAAATAATGAGTATATAAAGTAAAATTTGATATTTGTGTTAGAAAGCAAAATGTAATCATTTTTTTTGTAGAATAACAAAAATAATTATTGCCTTATGTAAAAATTAATGCACATTTGTGCAATGACACGTGCTCTATGAGACAAATGAGATGTTCATTATCTTAATAAATGTTTAACATTTCATTTCTAAAAATAATTAAATACTAAATTTACTTTGCTAAATAAATAAATATGTATAGTAAAGCTCAAAATGTAATGTGTAAAAAATTTAAATAATACCCCGGAGTATACTCTATATGTAGTTTAAATAAATAAGAATAAATTCCCAAAATAGTCCATTATAATAAGGTTTTTTCCCAAATCAGTCCTCAATAAATTTTAATTACCTACGTGGTCCTCTATAATTGAGATTTATTCTTAAGATGGTCCTTCGTAAATAATGTTGCTCAAATGAGGATTAATTAAGGGTATTTTGGTATTTTTTTATCCGCTAAATTTAGAAATAATTCGTAAAATGATCATTTATAATGAAGTGCTTTCCCAAAATGGTTTTTTCTAATTAAAGATGTTTATTTGATTTGAAATTTAAAAGATTTTTTATAAATTTTAAATAATTCATGAATTATTTATAGTCAATGCATTTTTTAACTTTTACATTTAGTTGTACAGAAATGACTGTTTCGAGAATGTACTTTAAATTTGGATGATTAAAATACTAAAATATCTCCCAATTAATCATCATTTGAGTAACATTATTTACGAAAGACTATCTTACGAATAAATCTCTATTATTGAATGTCATGTAGGTAATTAAAACTTATTGAGAACTGAATTAGGAAAACACCTTATTACAAAGGATCATTTTGAGAATTTTACTCAATAAATAATTTTAAAGCTAACCAAACATGGCCCAATTATTTTAAAAAGTAAAGGAGATTATACTTGGGAGAAAAGAGCTGAAACGCTACAACAGTGAATCCAACCGCTCTCATTTGAAGCTGTGAGAGGAGAAGAGAAACGCACCTCCAAACTCAAACGAAGCTTTCAGCTGCCAGAAGCTTCCCCTGTTCGAGGAGAACTCGCCGTCTTCCACATCCAATCGAGGTATTTCGTGATCTCCTGCGCTCAATCTGCAAGTTCTTATGATCTTCTCATCAGTGACGAATGTTTATATCAATCGTAAAACAACGCAAATCTGGAACACGGCTGAACCGATCTTCTGTTAGCCCTGAATTTCGAAGCTGTGTGTGAATCCCCGCTGTACGGATCATATTTTCACATGTCGGACTTATATTGTTTCAATTTTGCGATGTTAATCGATTTCCTCAGTTGTTTTTAGTGCTAGAAGTATCGACGGCATTGCGTATCTGAATTTGAATTGTTATTCTAGACCGCATTCATAAATCTGTTTTTTGTTAGCTTTTTTATATTTGGTTATGGTTGTTTAGGGAATTTTGTTACAATGAGATTAGATTAAATTGAACTCCTGTTATTCTGTTTTTTAGCAGTCAGAAGTATAAAAAGTTGTCATTCATTTTATCCTGACATGATAATAACTTCATCATACTGAAGCAGGTTTAAAATTCAGAATGGAAACCGAAGGTGTTGAAATCTCTAAGAAACGGATGAAACCTTCTGTATGGTCTCTTTTTAGCTTTCAGCCTACTGTTATATGGAGCATTAATCTATGAGTACACAACACATTCTCCAGATCTTAGAACTGCAATGCAACCATTGTTAGGTGGAGAATGAAGTGAACGAGTCCGAAGGGGCTATTGCAAAAATTGCAGAAGATGAAGCTGCAATGAACACCTTGGCTTCTGAACAAATTGAGCTCGAGATTGCTCAAATATTTGAAAAGATCAATCGGTTTACTCAGCTGGTATGTTTTTTGTACCTATACACCCCATACCACCAATGGCGAAGATGAAAAAAGACCTTAAAGAGTGCAATAAATGTAAAAAACAATATTCATGCCTTTGTACCCTATTTTATATTTTCTTGAGCCAGGGTCTTTCAGAAACAACCTCTCTACCTACCACCATTTTAGGTAGTAGGTAGGGGTAAGGTCTGTTGTGTACACCCACTCTCCCTAGCCTAGACCCCATCTGTGTATTGGGTCGTTGTTGTTGTAGTCTTGGTTTCCTTGGTCATTGAATGGTGATGTAAATATGGTTTATGAATCATCCTAAAGAATCTCCTCTCGAATTTGTGGTGCGAACTAAAGCATTCTAGGAATGGCTTTAATTCTTTACATGTTACTTTATACTAATGTCAGCTTGTGTTTCTTTTTACGCACGCCTACCACAATCATATCACAAAGGTGTCAGAGATGCTGGAATCAGGGAAGACCATGTTGAAGGAACTAAGCAATGAATTTGAAGAACGGATGATTTTGTAAGTCATGGATTTTAAGAGTCAGTTCGGAATGACTTATGCTATATGTTCTTTTAAAAAGAGTGCTTTCTTATTTAAAAAAGTTCTTTCACTTATTCCTTGAAAATATAGGCAAGCCAAATGGAATCTAAATTCCAAATTTCTTTTCCCAGCTCATAAATGACTGAACATTTTGACAATAAGTTTAAACAAGAAAAACTCTGCTGCTTTTCATATGCAGAATCCACCAAGAACAGATGGAAAAATGGCAGGAGGAAATTAAGGAACTGCGCTTGCTAGACGCTTCAAATGAGGAAGCTGATGCAGTTTTACAAAACGCCAAGTACTTGATTCACAACATTCATGTTGACTCTTGAAGGTAGCTTCTCAATTTAAATGAACTTGAAGCCTATCCCGCCCTTCTAGCTATATTAGTGTTTAACATTAGAAGGCATCTGCAATTCTGACTTCTGCTGGGTATGATTATATGAATGTTCCAGCATATGAGATGCATTTTGCAATGTGTATAAATGGTTCTAGGGATCTGACCTTCATGGATGAGTCATATTAAACGGGCATTAGTCTTATTTGGTGAAATAAAATTCGATCATATACTCCGTAGTTTTTAAACTTTCTTAAGAAGTGTGCAAAGTGAAATGAGGAATTTAATAAGGGATGATGGGAGTAAATGGAAACGGTTGGAAAAATGCATTGTCATTTAAATATGCCTCTAACTTTTGAATGAGTTACATGCTTTTGAATAAGAGCTATTCCACTTCAAACAAACCAAATGACACATTTCGGACAAAAAGATTTAAAGGGTCAAACTACTCCATAAGGGCAAATGTTTGGGCATATTTGTACATTTCCCGCTTTCCCTAATATAGAGCCCGTTTGGTGACCCCTTGTTTTCCATCTTAGATATGACCCTGGATATGAGCGTCTAGAGGTCTACTATTAAGATGTTAAGATAGCCCTTTGGGCTTTAATTTGTGGCTTCTGTTTCCGTACTTTTGTGCCTTAGTTTGTAATTTGGACTAATTTCTGTTTGTGTTCTCTTTGTTCGTGCTATTTTCATTTGTGGTTGTGCACCTGTCTTGAGCAAGTGGTCTCTTAGAAGTGTTATAGAAGCATATAGACAAATTAAAGTTTAGAATTGGACAATTTGAGGGTTAAAAAAGTAATTTCACAATGATAATATATCTTTCTTGTTATACACAATTCCATAGGTTGCTCTTGATGTGTCGTTTGTGAATTAAAATCGCTTTTGACCATAATTATAGTATACAGATGTGGCCTTTCGTCCGAATTCTTGTCCACAATCATAGTTATTAATTTTGTGTTATCCGTCTAACTTATATCAGAACACATCATTGGACATAAGGTTGATGTCAAAATATACTTTTAGCCTTTAAGTTTCTCGGTTTAGTTTTTAATTTTTTTAGTTTAATTTTTAAAAAAACTAAATTAAATATTATAAATAAAATATTTAAAAATAAAAATTAAAAAAAAATATTGATGGAATGAAGATTCAAGATTGGCACACCCGGAAGGGGTCGAAATGGAAATGAAATGGGAAAGCTAATTTGCTTGAGTTGGAAAATAGAAGAAGATGGCCTGCGAAAATAAGCTAAGTAAAATGTCATCTCTTATGGGCCTGCGAAAATAAGCTAAGTAAAATGCTTGATTTGAAATGATTCAAATGACCTTGATATGTGGTGCTCCCTCAACTAATTTTTTTTTTCACATTTTGACTTGGCAAGAAAATTAAAAAAGTTAAAAAATATAACGACTTTTCATATTTTCCCCTAATCAATGATTTTAAACCCGGACCGGAGGTCGACCTGGCGGGGAGGATGAGTCCTGGGTCAATCTGGGTTATTCCGGTTTGACCCGGTTTTTTCCGAATTTTTCCGGGTTTTTGGGTGTTTGGACCGGACTGGTTGTGTGTCCGAGTCACGGTTCAACCGGTCGGACCGCCCGGTCCAGTCCGAATTAAATAACACCGCCGGTACTCCCTCTGTCCCTATTTGTTTGCCACGTTTCAAAAAATATTAAGTTTTTTTTTCAATTCATATATGTTTAAATATTGTTATAGAAATAAAAAATAAAATTTACATATTTAAAAATTACATGAAAAGTTCTTTGAAATAAGAGGTGTTAAAAATATTTTATTTTATCAAATAACCAATGAAAATATACAAATAAGCAAAAGTCCTCATGACTATTGAAAAAGCAAATGTGACATTCTTTTAGGGACACATGGAGTATTATAATATCAAAAAAAATGTCACACGTACGGTGACATGAAACATTTCAAACAATAATAAATAGTATAGTGGAAAATAAGTGGAGTGACATGTCATGTAGTGGCAAACCATTGTTTTTGTCACATTTTATACTTTTTTTTATGTATTTTAATTATTAAAAATATAATTATTTTACGTATCTATTTAATCATTAAAATATTAAAATATGTCTACTTCTTTAATAAAAAAATTTCAAAAGAAATGAAAAAAAGAAAGGAAGAGGGTCATGCCTCGCGCATGGAATGGAACGAGCCAACGTGGGGTGAATCGGTGATGGAATGCCAGGGTTTCTAAAAGTTTTGCTGACATGGCATGACAATGCAAAGCATTTGCTAGCCTTTACCAATGTTCTAATGGAAATCTCATCCAAGCTCAACCAATTTTAAGAGAAAAAACATGGATCATACTTAGAAAAAACATTTAATTATAGTGTGTAAAGTTCTTTCTTTTCAACTTAGTAGTTTTTATCCGCTAAGATCAATTTAAAAAAATTCAATGAAATATACAATTAATTCTCAATGAAACTAAATATAAAATAATGAATTAAAAAAAGGATTCCAATAAGTAGAATTTGACGCAAATCTTACAAACACAAAAAAACAGAGAGATATGTCCAATTAGATGGAACATAATGGTAACCAAACTAAGTTTGTCAAGTAGCTTTGCATATCGGATATGTTGTCTAAAAGTGAATAATAATAATAATTGAATACCTCTAATTGATAACAGACAAAAATCCCAAAAATATTTTATATATATATATATATATATATATATATATATATATATATGTATATGTATATGTATATATATATATATATATATATATAGTGGCGGACCTAGAGTTGTGACAGTGAGTTTATTTTTTTATATGTTGGACACATAATATCTACTCTTTCCGTTCCAAAATATTTTACATTTTATGTAAAAATTTAATTTTTCATCTTTGTCAAAAACGGCTTTAAATTTAAAAAAGGATGCCAAATAAGTTAAATACTAACCTCCTGTTTGGCATCAGCTTTAGAGATTAGCGTTGTCATTTAGAAAAGATGTTATCTGACAGTAGCCTTTGGCGTTAGCGACTTCAAAAATAATCTACATCATTAAAATTTTATCCAAATCGCTAACGCTAATTGAAAACGTACGCCTTCATTATTTACCATTTTTTTTTCTTTTTTCTTCAAAAAGGAGTAGAGTACGTAGCAATTGTTTTTTTGTTTTTGTTTTATTTGGGGGGAAGGGTAACATTTGTTTATGATTCAAACACAGCCTAAAGAAAGTAGGGACGAAGAAAAACTAGAAGAGGCATCCGATACGTATCTATCAATCGACGAGTAGTTGCTGCTTACTCGGCGAATAGCACTAAGGACTAAATTAAAGTGGAGTTGTACTGTGATGAAGATGACTCCATATACATATATATATATATATATATATATATATATATATATATATATATATATAATACGAGTATGTATATGTATAGGGAACTTGTAATCTTACACCAACAAAAATGACACTAGTACGTGATATCAGTAGTTTTGCGGCATCTACAGTGCTCCATTAGAGTGTAAGATCTAATGAAAAGAAATGAGAGTGCATATGGTCTATTAGAGTGTAAGATCTACACGCTATAAAAATTAGAAAAATAAGTAAAAATTGAAAAATTACAGTAACATTTTAGTAAATAAGTCAACTTTAGTGCCACCAAAAATGCACTTCCATAATGGAAATGTACATCGTAATGGACGAAACCTAAGGGACACTCAAGATGGTGTTGTCTTTTTCTTTATTTTATTGTATAAAAAAATTAAAAATTTTTAATACCTTGGTTAATATAAAAATATTCTTTGTGATAGTTTCTTCGTCCTCATATATTTGTTCAACATTCTTTTTTGTATTGTTCCAAATGTATTTGTGCACCTTTTGTATTACGAGAAAATTAAAGGTAAAGCCTAATATATAAGGTAGGGGTGGGCACGGGTCGGGACGGTTCGGGTTTCTTACAATCCCGCGTCCTGTCCCGTTATATTCAAACGGTTCGGAACGGTTTGAACCACAAGCCTATCCCACTTTGTCCCATAATTTTCGGGACCGGGACAAAACGGAATGGATTCGGATTGTCCTACTTTTTTCTAATTTTAGGACAATAATAAAAATTGAAAACAAAAAGATTGAAAATAAATGCTACAACAATGTCAACAAGTATTAATTGTTAAGTACTCAAAATGTTTCACGAGATACGTACGGAGTAATATATGTGTGTTTATATATATATATATATAGATTTTGGTTCAGGTGAGAATGCAATCTAATGAAAGAAATAAGAATGAATCTAGTGCATTAGATTAGGAGATCTAAGGGTTAGGATTGCATCAAAATTAGGTGCACTAAGATGGTTTGAAAATGCATCATGTCGAGATGCACCATAATCCTTTAAAAATGCACTATCTCGAAATTTGAGTGCTGAATGCAATCTGAGCCGCACGATGCATCANTTATATATATATATATATAGATTTTGGTTCAGGTGAGAATGCAATCTAATGAAAGAAATAAGAATGAATCTAGTGCATTAGATTAGGAGATCTAAGGGTTAGGATTGCATCAAAATTAGGTGCACTAAGATGGTTTGAAAATGCATCATGTCGAGATGCACCATAATCCTTTAAAAATGCACTATCTCGAAATTTGAGTGCTGAATGCAATCTGAGCCGCACGATGCATCAGATCCAAAGGCTAGATTTCATTCTTATTTCTTTCACCAAGGTGCATTTTCACTTGAACCAGCCCCTATATATATATATATATATATATATATATATATATATATATATATATATATATATATATATATATATAGACACACACACACACACAAACACACACACATATATATACATATATATATATATATATATATATATATATACTCCGTATAAATAATGTTTTTAGAAGAGTATATAAAACGAGACAAAAGGGATGGAACGGTACACTTGTATGTTATCCCGGTAATGTCCCACTTAAAATCGGGACAGAACAGGTTCGGGACAAAAAAATTTGAATCCAAAAAAAAGGTACAATTTCAAAACGGTTCCGGCACGTTCCGGAACGGGTCAACGGGAACGATTTTCGAGCCCGCCCCTAATATAAGGGTTACTTGGATAATGGTGAGGTCCCAATGGTCCCATATGTAAATAAATAAATAGAGAGACAAAGATAGTAATATTTTCACA